ACACACACACACACACACACACACACACACACACACACACACACTCACACGCTTTTTTCTTTTTTTCCATGTATATCACTTCCTTAAAGTTTAGCTGTTTGCTGATTCCGATCTCTGGCTATGAGATTCGAAAACGTATTAAATAAAAAAATTAATCATTCATTCATTTACAGAACTGGACGGACTAGAAGGGGAGGATTGTGTTTAGCAGCAGCTCACAAAGCACTACGCTGGCAAGCGGCTCGCACTCGGCACTGCCCACCGCCGTTCTCGCCCGACACGGCACCCAGGTATATGAACGACTTTTTTTATTAGAAACATTCAACAATTATTGAAAGATTTTTTATTAGAAACATTCAACAATTACGAAACTGAAATTCAGGCATTTGGAAATCAAGAAATACATAGAAGGCAACTTATTTCGAATGTCACACCGTAAAGGCCCCTCACAAGCTACATATGTACACAGACACACACAGATACACACGGACACGCACAGAAGCACATAGACGCACACAGTCACATACACAGCCAAACAGCCAGACACACAGATACTCACAGACACACACACACACACATACACACGTACAGACGCTATCATTCCTGTTAATTAGTTTTATTCTTTATTTTCAAATATCTCAAAATTATTAGTATTGCCTAAACTTATTAATTGGAGACTTCGCATATTTGTTACCTATATGTACTATAAACAGTGTTTTTTTTTTAAATGGGACAGTATGGGGAAACCCGAAACCATGGAAGATATTTTTATGGATAACCTACGGCTGGTCAAAAAATTGATTATGCCAAAATTGTTTTCACAAAAAACCTTAATGATTCCTGAGACAGTTTCCTTGTATCTTCTATGGTTTCGGATTTCCCCATACTGTCTCATTTTTAAAAAACACTATTTTTATCAAATTGTAATTAATATATAATGTACACCTTTGTGAAGAAAATACAAATTGTATTATTATTATATACAGGTCATCGAAACAGGAGAAAAGGGAAGCCAATTCCTCTATCGTATCACATGGGCGAGAAATGGACAGAAAAGCGCACAACCACTTTATGAATAACTTTAACACTGCAAGCAAGCCAACTAGTGTTTGTGATTTTGTGAGGATATTTAACTAATTTGTGATTACACGAATTTTGGAGAATGGACCAAAAGTGTAGATATAAGTAATAGAGTAGTGATGTTCATTTTGTGAAGAATAACAAAATATAAATTTCGATTTCAAATAAAAGTTGTTCTTATATATTGAAAGATAAAATACTCAAAACATTTATACGTGAATAATTAAAAGACGAAATTTAAGCTTGTGATAATAAATTACTATAATTAGATCAATGTATTATTAAATAATATAATACAGATATTATTTTAAAAATGTAAAAAGTAGGTCTAAAAAGTGTTCAAGTGACCGTTTTACTAAAAAAAATGCAAGAAGGTGGAGCAATTCGAAATACATACTAGGTATTAAATGAAGTTGCGAAAGCCGATGGATCCCTATGAAAGTGTTGCATACAAGTCCGATATGTATCTGTTCCGAACCCGAGAATATAAAAATCTAGTAAACTCGGACCGATTTCGTATCGCACAAGTGCACTAAGTTCGATACGAGTCCGAAAAAACACGAATATCTCTGATACACCTAGTGATTACAATTTACAAATTTTTCGGTACACCATTTTTTAGTAATTACGATGAACTTAAACAAGATAGACAGAAATTTATTTATAGTTATTACTGAATGTGTGTGTCCATTTTTAATTTCATATTACCGATATAATATACGAGCCCAGGTATAATATACGGTCAGGCTCAGCCTACGCCGCTTGGTCGGTTTCAGTTTACGGGGTGTGCTCATGCTCTCCGGTGGCACAGCAGTTAGTACTATGAGCGCTTGATGAGGAGATCGATTCCCGATTTATACCAATTTAAGAAACGAACATTTCAAAGTTGGTTTAGGTCTGAGTATTCTGGATTATCGTTGTTTTGGTATTCATAGTACAGGAAATTCGGCAGCAGTTTGGCATTTTTTCCCCCCGAATACTTCTCTTTGGCATAGCTTTCAAGAAAATGTAATCTAACAGAGAGACGATCGAGATACAACAACGCTATAATAAGTATCTCATTTCCACTACATCGGGAAGTATGCCTTACATTTTTACAATTGTGAGAACTTATACTCGTAATCTACGCCTCCGTATATTATCTTCATCGCGATAACGTGCATACGCTTCGGGCTTCGCCCTCCGTGGACCTCGGCCTCCGGCCTCGGCACTTATGGCTTTGTTTTAAAAAAATTGAAATAGCTCTTTAATGGCGACCACATTTAAAAATTGCAAAAATATATTTTGACAACTAATTATTATCAAACCGTCTTAAAAATCTTTTTGTGCCAATTTTCAGTCCGAGAAAAGCAAGTTTTTTCAATAGCCATTTACATAAAAAATTACGGCAATATAGAAAAACGGCAGAAACAAAATTTTTACCCCAAATTGTGATTGAAGCCATGCCATTTTCGATCCCCATATGAGATCCCCACATATTGATTTTCAGTGGAAGTAGAGCTAATTTTTATTAGTTGTTGAATGGCGGCCATATTAAAAAATGGCGTAAATAAACTTTTGGCCCCAAATTATGGTTAAGGACTCCTAAAGACCATACCAATTTTGAACCGGATCGAAGCAAGTTTTTCTTCGGCCGCCATTTTTAATCGCCATCTTGAATTTTTTTTAACCCAGGCAGTTGACCACTATTAATCTCTATGACATTCCTTCGAGCACCTCCTACCTATCTCTAATAGTTTCCGTGATATGAGACTTTGAAATTTGTATGGCGGCCATCTTATTTATTTGAATTTCGAACCTTTTTTACTTCCGGCGGAAATTGACCAGGGTGTACCTCATAAAAGTGCACAAATATCCCCTCCATATATTATAGTTTTTGCAGGCCGTTGATCACTCTTTCATATTTTCCACATTTAGGTCTTCTCATATTTGATTCTTTGCTTTGCAATCTACCCGCGTATAACGGTATAAATATCTTTTTTCCATCATATCGGGAAGTATGCGTTCTATTTCTATCAGTGAGTAAGAACTTGTAGCTTTATATATGTATATATATAATATCGATACTTCTTGTTTGCCTACATCCCTCCGCGCAGCCGTCACCGTTGCATTCGAACTCGGATTGGACGCAGTGCGCGAACGTTAAGACCAATAATACCCCGCGAAAAAAAATATCCGAATTAAAGGTATTCTCGACTTCGGAAATCAAAATTCGAATTTAGTGCACAATCCGTCATATAAATACTCTGAACTAGAACGGGGGTCTATTCTCGTTCTCCGGCTGACCCGAAACAAGCACTGTCAAATAAGTAATACAAGAACAAATCAGAATACAATGTTAAGTATGATACTACACTCGCGATGGATACAAATTGAACGTGCGCAAACCACGGACTTGTATTGTAAACTGGACCGCGCACTAAGTTAATAAAACGAGCCGAGTGAGAGGCTTCAAAGTAGTAATGAGTCTCTTTCTAATAGGGTGTTCATTCACGTTTCAGCCAGCCATATTGTTATTAACTTTGTAATTTTTACAGAAAATGTGGCCGCTTACGGATGAGGATGACTAAAACTACTAATATTATTTCATAATACAAATTAGTAAACTTATTTGATATGCTACTTCATAATAGGTTTCATTTCTGGCATATTTTTTGTATTATTACAGTAAAAGCATATTTACCTTTAAGCTAATTTTATTTAACCAAAATTTAAAAAAGTTGATAGACTAAATACTACCTAAGATCATTTTATTTAGCGTTGGCAACTTATTAGACAAGGACAGACTCCTACTTCGAGCTATATCACGTGACTCGTTTTTTATTTCTACATAAAATAAACTTTAACATAACCCAATAAGTTGTAAATTTATAATATTGGAATATCGAAGTGCGCGATCCAGTTTATGAAATATATAAATCCGTGGCGCAAACGTACTGAGACGGATTTCACTTGGCATCTCACAACGGGATACTTCAGTACTATGTCAATAGATGGCGCCTCAAAACATTCCACAGTTTTTCTACGATAATGGGCAACAATTGAACATTGGGTTAAAAAGTACATAACTTAATGTGCACCTAAGATATATTGGTTCTCGTTATTCTCGTCATAACCTGATTAATCGCTTTTGTTAACCGAATTTGAATATAATTTGTTCGTTGATTGTAGCCCCGTTTGTATCATATACACAGGTTTATTTATAAAACACGAGGAGCAACCTTCCAAGTTTATATTAATAGCATCATAAACAACAACTTTTTTCCATGAGTTTTTATAAAACATAATAAATTTAACATAATTAATTTTTGTTGTACTACATGACATTTATCAACATTTAGAGCGACCTATTAATATATTTTGTTTTTTTTTTTATACGAAAGTAAAATCTGATGATTTATTAAAACTTATTGAAACAAAAATTGTTGTTTATAAGGTTAATAATAAGTCCTGTGAAATTGTTAGTATTTTAAAAATAACCATGTATAATTATGAAGACGTGATCTAGCCCTTATCGCTATTGGTTGAGAATGAACAAGCTGCGGGCGGGCGATACTGACGCACGCAAAAAGAACCCCTATGGTGTGAACGCATTGCCCTTCATGATAGTACATTTTTGAATTAGCTACGTAAAGCTATATTTCATTGTTCAAACAAGAATAATAAATAGCGAAATCTTGATGGTTGAGTAACAGGGCATTACAAGATTAAACGAATTTAATCGTAACTCTCACTAACTATAGTTATTATTGTTACAAATGCGGAAAGTTAGTCTTTATTCACGAGGCTCGAGGCTTCGAGAGAAGTGAAAATGACAAATCCGCAAGTGTATCAAACGACGTTTTTTAATATATTTGCGAAAAAATTACATTGAAAGTAAAATAAAACAGTATTTAAAAAACTCATTTTATTTCTTTGTCTGATTCTCTGATCTGAAAATTCAGAGTACAATGGCATCTGTCGCCAGTATTCAGCCACACTAAAATTACTATTTTAGTGGCGCGGCGCGCAGCGGTCTCGCGTAATACTCACCTCCGGTCATTGATTCATACTTAATCAGCCATCATAATGGAAAATATTTTGGTATTTTTAAATGTAACCCGCTGATAAATAAAACACCTATGCAAACAAATAAGACGTTTGTAGGTAAATATAAGTTTTAATGACGAATGACTTACGTTACAAAGCACATTAATATTAAATACATGTACAACCTCTTTAGTTCTATGTTTAATACTTGAAACAACAGTAAATTTAAAAAAAATGGAAAGGTAAAAAGCACTAGTGCGAAAAATCCAACTTTCGTTACGATTTGTAGTACGTAAAATACTATAGCGCCAACAACTGACCTGTGTTTATGTCTCCAAAAATATTGTGTATTTATTGTAACAAAGATAATATCTGTAATTATGGGGGCTGTTCCATTCGGTGGTGTAAAAAAAACAGCAAATCATCTAATTACAAAATAAACGGAATCACATTTCGTAAATATGAAATATGTAATTTTTCGATGTGCCCACTGCTTCGGAGAGACGAAACGTGTTACTAAAGCTAAGGATGTCGTTATTTTCGTTTTTTATTGCCCTTTCACCCCTCGTATAGTATTTTTTCGGCGGCTGGACTCGTCGTTATCGAAATAATGAAATCGAAGTTATCTTAAACGCTCTTTTTCTTATCAGCTTTAGTGAAAAATTGGCCTAAGATATTGCATTGTTCCAGTGTTTTTTTTTTAAATTACCAAACTTTAATAATTTTGTAATCGCCAACTTAAACAATATTATAATCACTTTAAATGCAGATTAATTGTGTGTAAGTAAAACTTAAACCGCTTGTCACTTTCTATTGATAGCAATAGAGCTCCTTGTGAAAAAGATTGTCCAATTTATACCGCCAAGCGGTAATGTGAGCATTACAGGTATGGTGCTGGTCAAATTCCAGGCAAATGCGACTTGTCAACTTAGGTCTCAGGGTCACGGGCGTAGCGGCAGTGCCACTTAGGTATTTATGATTTAAAGCTCTCAGTGGCA